GGCGGCCAATAAGAACATCAAAAGGCTCATAGAGAAAATGACTGAGACCTATAAGGATTGGCATGAGAAGTTGCCCTTTGCTCTGTTTGCTTATCGAACTTCAGTACGGACTTCAACTGGGGCAACTCCGTTTTCTTTGGTTTATGGGATGGAAGCTGTCTTACCTATTGAGGTGGAAATTCCCTCACTTCGGATTTTGTCAGAGGTAAAGCTTGATGAGGCAGAATGGGTCCAAGCTAGGTATGACCAGTTGAATTTGATTGAAGAAAAGAGATTGAAAGCTATTTGTCATGGTCAGATGTACCAAAAACGTATGATAAGGGCACATGGTAAGAAAGTTCGCCTTCGAGAATTCCATGAGGGAGATTTGGTGCTTAAAAGGATTTTGCCTATTCAGAAGGATTTCAGAGGAAAATGGATGCCCAATTGGGAAGGACCTTATGTTGTCAAGAAGGCCTTTTCTGGGGGAGCTCTAGTCCTAACTGAAATGGACGGATCAGAATTACCATATCCAGTGAATTCCGACGCTGTTAAGAGATATTTCGCTTGAAGAAGAAATAAAAGGAAAAAAACGAAAAATGAAAAAATAATAATAAAGATGAGAAAAAGAAGAAAAGAAGAAAAAAATGAGAAAAAAATAAAAAAAAAGAAAGAAAAATAAAAAGAGAAAAATGAAAAAAAAAAGAGAAATAAAAGGAGGGTTCAAGACGAAAACCCGAAAAGGGCGTCTTGGAACCAAAGGAGGTCTCAAGTTGAAAACTCGCAAAGGGCGACTTGAGTTGAGTTTGAAATTCAGAATTCGTGCATGGTGGAGGTTCTGAATCAATTTTGGAAGTGGAAAGAGCTCCTGATATGGATAGTAACAATGACAGTTGGTGATCAGGAATGAGACTAAAGATTAATGAGTCTCGATTGAAATAATCAAGAGAAATTGAATGCATATGAGATTCAATACTGGTTTAGGGCATCCAATGATAGAGATTTGGGAGTTTAGAAGTAGCCTCATACTCGTAAGCATCACAATTTTGGAGATCCTTTTGACAGAAGCTACACTCGAGACATTCTAACGGCGTGCCAGTTCAAAAGCATTTGCATTATTGATATTTGAAGACGCCTACTTTTTTGTTCTTTTATTATTTCCAGTTAAAAGTTTGCCATAAAATTACCTAAAAATCTTTGCATATATAAATAAAGAGATGTATTTTCTTGTTCGTTTCCCTTTTGCAAACATCTTATTTTGAAAGGTCAAAACATATAGCTTAACTTGAATTACATGAGATCATTTTGTATTATTGTGCAAAAGATTTTGGAAAATGCAGGTATTCTGAAGTTGACAATGGTTTAAACATGTAAGCTTGTGTGGCTACGGGAAGCTAAAACCTTGGAATTCATAGAAAATATCAGCCATGATAAGAAGACCCAAAGAGATTGTCATTGGTTAAGAAGTTGGTCATGGGTATTGACGGGTTTCAAGAAAGGAAAGAGTCAAGGTTCTGTTAAGCCGAGAGATATGGAATTGAGATTGTTAACTGGGGTGAACTAGTTAAATGTTCTGTGTCCAATATGAAACCAAGTTCCATCGAGATCAAAAGGAGATAGAGTTCCTTCAAAGAAGAAAACGCATTGAATTGCATAATTGCATACATTTTAGGCATGAGTAGGATCATGGCATTCATAATCGCATGATGGCTTAAATATCTACAGGTTTCCCAGGGATAGTTGAAGATTGAAGATATGAAAGCATCGAGATGAAGATAACTGGTCTTGAGATTTTGACAAGAATGATGTTTATACGAAAATTGAGTCAAAGCAGATTCAAATATCCAATGGCTCTAGACAAGTTTTCACGATGGAGATGGATTTTCAAAAATTTTCTCAACTTCTAAATTTTTTAGTATAATATTTTTCAAATATACATTCATGATGAATAATGTTTGATTTTCAGGTTTGACCTTTGAAGCAAATTCTATAAGCCTTCACGAAAGAGTAGTGAAGCAAATTCGTTCGTTGAAGATTGAGTCCTATACTCTCTGAATGAATAGGGAGCGGACAAGTTTGTTGAAGATTGAGTCCTATACTCTCTGAATGAATAGGGAGCGGACAAGTTTGTTGAAGATTGAGTCCTATACTCTCTGAATGAATAGGGAGCGGACAAGTTCGTTGAAGATTGAGTCCTATACTCTCTGAATGAATAGGGAGCGGACAAGTTCGTTGAAGATTGAGTCCTATACTCTCTGAATGAATAGGGAGCGGACAAGTTCGTTGAAGATTGAGTCCTATACTCTCTGAATGAATAGGAAGCGGACAAGTTCGTTGAAGATTGAGTCCTATACTCTCTGAATGAATAGGGAGCGGACAAGTTCGTTGAAGATTGAGTCCTATACTCTCTGAATGAATAGGGAGCGGACAAGTTCGTTGAAGATTGAGTCTTATACTCTCTGAATGAATAGGGAGCGGACAAGTTTGTTGAAGATTTTTTGAGTCTTATACTCCCTGAATGAATAGGGAGCAGACACGTTTTCCAAGGATTGTTCGAGTCTTATACGCCTTGAAAGAAAAGGGAGCAGACCCGTTATTTGAAGATTTTTCAAGTATCACTTCTCTTGAAGTAACAGTGGAATGGTTTAATCTTTTGAAGTTCTCATGACCGGACAAACTCGATCATCTTTTGATCTTTGCTCTATTCTCGTTACACGACAATGAGCAAAGAGGGGCAGTTGTAAATGCTCGATTTTATCCGAGTCTAGGTCGGGACAGGCCCCATTCAAGCCCAATGGACAACAGATATATGCACAAGAAGATAGCAGTTTGAGGGTCGGTTTTTAGCAGTTTTAGTTTTTAAGAAATAACCACCCATCATCAGTTTTAATGGGATTTAAAAAGAGAGAGGGATATCAACTAGGGGAGGAGATAAAAAATTTACATAGGGAGAGAACTAAAAAAAAAGGGAATTTCGGTAGACTTTCTGGTTCAACATTGTTGGAAGCAATAAAAAGAAAGCAATTTTTTTTAAATTTCACGGTTCCATTCGAAGGAAAGCATCAATCATTCACAAAAGCTATAGCATTGTCTCGAGCAAAAGCAACACCAAAAAACAGAAAGTATTAACAAGAACAAAACCAGAAAAAGGAAGCATTTAGGAGGTATTTCTTTCATTTTACTTATTTTCTAGTAGAAGTTTATGTGTGTGTGTGTGATTTTTGTTTGAAACGAGAATAAGGGTTAGAAGCTTACCGACTTGAGTCATCGGGTTGAAACTGAAGCGTTGAGAGTTGCTCGAGAAACCTTGCGTATGAGTTAGGGGTTAGTTTCCAGATTGAGGGTTTTAAATAAAAAAGAGTGAAGGCTAGAGTGATGACCCGAGAGGACTTACCTGGTCGAATCCTATGATGGTCGGAGTGAAGAAAGCCATTAACATGGTGGCTTGCCGAGCATGGAGGAACTGTGGGCTCTATTTAGCGCCGCTGTTTGTTGAGAGACAAGGGAGAGGAGTGTAATCGTGAAAATGGAGAAGTGAGACTAGGTTTAGATTTCACATAGAATAATATATATATATTAATTCACTAAAAGATAACGTTTAGCCTTAGGTGAATACACATGTGGTGAGTGGAATAATTGCATGTGAACTTCGTTAACTTTTGACATTTTGTATTTTAGTCATTGAATCAATTTTTTTAGGTTTTCAATTGTCATTCGTATTTTGTGCGTTTTTCTTTTAGTCTTAAGTTTATGTTGTTCTTCGTTTTATGATGGTTCTGGTATTGGTTTTGTAATTTTGTCAATTTATGATTTAATCGCATAATACGTTGGACTATTGAGCTGTTTAATTTACATTTTATTTACTTAACTTTGTTATTTGCTATTTTTATCCTTTATGGTAGTTGATTTAAAGCTTAGGTTTTTGGGCAGTAGGTTTAGGTTTGCTTTTAAGTAACGAATTTTATATTATTTTAATGTATGGTGTGCATTTTTTTTTTGCATGTATATATTATATCATTAAGTGTTATTTTCAACTTTAAGTAAATAAAATTAGTATTATATTTGTAGTAATTAATTGATCTAGCATAAAAAAAATTGATTACATGTTAGTATAATTTTAATAAGTTTTTTTTAGTGTATAGTTATGTGTATTTTAGACTTAAATATTTTTTTTCAAATGTGTGACATTATTTAATTAGTTTTCGCATGGTAACCTCATGTGCATAACTCGACATTATTACATAATTTAACTAAGGGTAATATCCTTTTAATTTAAAATTGTTGAAGTGGGCAGTCATAACTGATTTGAGGTCCGCTTTTAATGATTTTAAAATAAAAGTGTATCCCGAAAGTGAAACTAAAAAATTAATTCGTCACCTAAAATTTGGGAATGAGAGAAAAAGAAATGTTCGTTTATTTAAATATATCGAGAAAAGGTTGTTATATCTTTTAAGATCTGGTCTCGATATTTGTAAATAATCGAACATTCTTTATCTTTCTAAAACAATTCGGTAATTTTAATTTAATTTATTTGAATGCTTTTGAATGTTTTTTAAATTTACATCTTTGTTTTACGGGATCAAAAACCAAATTAAGTTCGAATTTATAAAGTTCACTGCAAAGACGTTAATTAATCGACTAGGTACCGACTTAGGGCGTTGTGGTGGTGTTAATCCTTCCCCACACGTAATCGACTTCCGAACTCATTTTTTGGTAACGCAGACCTCAATTTGTTGTTTTAATTAAAATTAATTTTTATTTAAAATGACAGCATTTTTGGGTGCCCAATCACACCTTAATCAAAGATTGGTGGCGACTCTTTGAACCGTAGTTTTTGATCGTAAGGGAAATTCAAAATTTTTCGAAACGAGAGATATTTTAAATTGCATTTGTTTTTAAATTAAAAAGAGACAATTAAGAATTAATGTGGTTTTCAAAATCTCACCTTTTTTCACCTTTAAGAAAAAATCGTTTCGACAAATGTGACAGCTAAACACAGTAATGAACATGCTTGGTTTGAACCTTCCTTGCACTTTGTACATAAGCCGCATTATAGCAATGCTTCTCTCGAATTTGTAGCACATGGTTCTAAAAAGCATCAGGTTGCCGAAGGATCTGCCGTGAAAAGCCACCCTGCTTGTGGTTCTTTGATGCAAAATCCAGGTGAAATGATTGACAAGCAGTTTGTGGATGAAGAATTTGACATGGATTTGGAGTATCTTCGCATGACATATTGACATTCCCTGGTTTATCCAATGAGTCTCTTACGGATGTCTACTTGGCTAATGATGGGGACTTTGAAGCCACTGTTGACATGCTGAACCAACTTGAGGTAAATTTTACCTAATGTTTATTTTGTTGTTATAAATATCATTGTCAGAGTGATGGTTCTGGATTATTTTCCTTCATTCCTTTTCAAATTGAGTTTTACCTCTCCCTTTTCTTTTCTTAAGCCATGGGAGGATGAATGTTTGAGCTCCTCTCCTTCAAACACAGCTCCGATTGTACAAAATAGCGAAGTAATTGAATTTATGAAATTTTATCTGATTTATTGTCTAATGACAATATTAACGTGATTTTATATTTTTGGATTTGACCGAAAGCTGTCTGGTCAAAGAGTTTAGGATCTTACTCCACTTTCTGGCCCATCGTGGCAATTGGCATAGCTTTGTTTTCTTCTTCATTTGCTTAAGTCTTTTCTTTTGTGCAACTTCTGACCAGATCACAGTGTTTCTGGTTACTGGAAGTGAAAGAGATCTTTCCATCAGCTTTCATTTGATCTAATTATTTGATTTATGTGATTGATTTTTCGTACAAATTTTTTATTCTTGCCATAAGAATGCCAGTGCATACTTCTGTTGTTTTTATTCACAATCACATCACTGTTGGTTGAATACAATGTGAGGGTTGTATATTAGTTATTTTGTTCTGTAAATTTGTTTATAACATTTCTTTACTCCATAACCCATTGATAATTACTGTTAATTGGTTGGATTAAGGAGGTAGTGTGGCCAGATTTTTTGTTATTCTTTATGCAGTCTGCTTCAGCTTATCTGTAGTTTACTACTGGTTTTAGACTGAGCCAAAATGTTTAATTTGTATAAACCATGGTTAGAAAGAAGTAAAAGAAAATGTTTTGTTTCTTAAGGTGATTTGATTTCTTTGGAAATAATTTCTAGAGTATGTCATGTTTTATAGTTAGCCGATTAATTTTGAAAAACATATTCCTTCTCTTGGTATTCATGGATAGTGGATTTGGTCTTGTCCAGATGCATGCTGTAGAATCGTCTGAATCACTTCCCGACACTTTGGATATTGGTGATGTCTCTGAATCTGTGTCTTCAGCAACCTGCAATCCTCTTAAACTGAAGAACATGGCTGGCAAAACAAGTGCTTCTTCATCAGGTGCTACGAAATCAGCTGCTGTGTCATGATCGACTTTCTCGAAGGATTTTTTAGTGGGTGTTCTTTTTTCTTAATGTGTCTGTGGAATAGAAGTATACACAAGTAGGGGCTTTCTTGAAGGCTGAGAAATATGGTATGTGAAATGCTTATGTTGTATAGTTGTATGCTGATGCTTGCCTAAACTAATACTGCTGTTGTGAGCTTTTATTGTTTGGTTAAAAAGCTCCTTTTGCAGTTAACATTGCAAAATATAGTTTTCATCAGAATTGAAAATGGTTCTACAATGTTGTTGTCGACATGTTGCACTCTGTGATAACTCTAGTTGTGTGTAGTCGTCGAGGCTCGAGACGAGGAGATGGCTCGAGCCTCCTCGTGTGCTATTATTCGGATGACAATGCATATTTCGGCCACTCAAATCTTTCTCCCAATGTGCATTAGAAAGTTGTCTTCAATATCCAGCCGCCGTTTGGAATTGGCCCTCCTTAACAGCCTGCTAAACCCAATTGCTCTCCCGTTTCTCTTCAATATCCAGCCGCCGTGCTCGTCCCTCGGAAGGGACATTTGTTACTGGAATGCAAATTCACGGTCAAGAATGCTTATGAAATCACCTTCGGAACGACCAAAACACTTGTTGGAAAACAATTTGGAAGCTGCAAGTTCCGGAAAAAATACGTTGTTCCCTTTGGTTAGCTTACCGGGACAGACTTTCCACGAATCATAACCGCTGCAACCGGTTGATACATCCTGTGCAGCTCTCAGCGCTCCTGACGAGACGATACTCTATACTCTTCGGGATTGCACGGTTGCTCGTGCTGTGTGGCGTTCTTTGATTCCTCCTGAACACACGTCGACCTTCTATACCTTCCTCTTCAAGACTGGATTTTGAGCAACCTTCCATCTCCTTCTGTTTGTGCCCTTATCCACTGCTCATGCAACTTCTTATTCTCGACCATAGCTTGGCATCTCTGGAAGGGGCGAAATACGACTGTTTTTCAAGATATTTCGGCTGAACCGGGTGGTCTAAATACTTAAACTATTTTATAATTTATTCAATTACACAACATTACTAATTACATAAATATTTATTTAACTTTAAAAACCAAACCATTTTGGAACAAAAAGGGGGGAAATATCCAAAGAAAAATGGCCAAACTCATAATCCAAAGGCCTTGCGCCCTCTTGCTCTTCAGCCGACTAAAACCCTCCTTTGTTTCTTCATTTATTTTCCTTTCTTCTCCCATTTCCCAGTCTTCTGCTGGTTCCTTGCTTCTTAACATTACCCCTTCTGTATTCATCCAGATTCCCAGCAACCCGAAGAAGTTCAGTTCACCTCTTGACATATATTAAATGCAATTGTATCTCCAAACTCCAACCTTTCACTTCAAATTTCCATGCCTTTTAGTTTATCTTCTGCACTTGCTTATTCATGTAGACTTTGCAGAAAGTTCCGCTTTTTAGCCACTTTCCCACTTCATGTGCTCTTAGTGCAGTAGATTGCTTCAAAGAAGTCGACACCCATGTCTCCGATTATCCCGAATTGCAGCGCAGCATGCGGGGTTATGCTATCTCGGGTGACTTTAACAATGCCCTCTGTGCTCTGAATTTGACGAAACGCTTTGATGGGAATCCCACAGTGTATGATTGTAACGCCTTGTTGTACTTTTACTTGAAGTCTAACAACGCATGTTGGCAAGAAAAATGGCTGTCTCTTATTCCTATATATAATGGGGTAAGGAGAAGTAAGATAGTAGCCTGTCCCAACATTAAATTGAGAGTAATTTTCGTAGGAGACCTCCAAATTATGAAATACTCTCCGTATGTTGACAAGAGTTGGTTGAAATGTATATGGGGATGAAGAGGTATGGGCCTCGGCCTAATGTTTCCACTTTTAATACCCTTCTTCGTGGAATGTTGATTCTTGGTAATTTGGAACATGAAGTTTTTATTGTTGAAGAGATGTATAGGAGTGATTTTGTGCCATCGTTTACTTCTTTATCGAAAACCTTGAAAATGGCGATCAAGGTACGGACTTTACTCCACTGTGTTTTTATTGCTTTGCTGTCGCGCGCTATTTTTTGCCATGTATTTTTATTCATCTCCAACTTATTCAACAAGTTTTAAAGCTCCATTGTTTTGTTTGCTACGACTTGTATCTCTTGCTCTCTTTGAATAAGTAGAAGGCTTAACATAAAAAAAAAAAAATAATAAGTGATTAAATTTTATCTCGAAATACGTTTTAGTGTTTTAAAAAATTCGTTAAAAATAAATATCTAATATTTTATCAATTATACTTTTATATGTCTATCGTTTATTTTTTTTTTAATAATAAAAAAATTATTTTTGATTAAAAAATAGGGAAAAAATTAATTTATTTATTAAAAAACTCAATTTTCATTGAAACTATAAAAAAAATCCTAGAAAGTTAAAATCTCTCATTTCAACCCCATTGTCAACCGTCGACGGTTATCTCTGGCCACCATCGTCATCGCCGAACAATCACCTACCCGTCGTCACTCACTCAATGATCAATCGTCGTCCTTACCGTCACTCAAAACCCCTAAATCTAAAATCTCCGATATAAAAATTCCTTAATTTTAAGAATTATTTTATTTGGTTATGGTTGTTATATTTTTTTGTAGTATTATATTATTATATTTTAGTATAGTTGTTTTATTTTTGTACTATTATTCAATATTTCGTTTAGTTAATATAGATTTTGTATAATATAATATATTTTTTTAATTATTAAAGTTTTGTTGCCATTTAGAATTTCCATGCTCTAGTTTTGTAGTACGATATTATTATATTTTAGATACTTCAACTTTTTTTCCTATCATGAGATTATCCTTCAACTTTTTCAAGGTATAACTTTCTCTTTTACTCAATCTTATAACGTAAGTACGAATCGAGTAATCTCAATAGAAAAAATTATTGCTATTCTTTGATGTTCGAATACGAACACTATGAATACTAGAGATGTGAGCGTTCAATATCATATGATCGATAGTTATCTTTAAATAAACATTATCTTATACTTCCCCAGATTAATAAAAAAAATTAATGCCCTCACCACGAACATCATTATAATTGTCTACCTTGTTTACCTCACCTATATTCACACCATTAGTTTTCATACTATCAATTTTAATTCATTTTAATACTTAAATTTTTATTTTATAAAAAAATTATACCTAAAATTTAATTTTTGTTTCATTTTAACACTATCATTAAAAAGTTTATTTTTTATTTTATTTCAATACCTATGTTCAAAATTTAACATTAAATTTTGAAAAGATTAAAAATTTAAATTCTAAAACGAGTCAAAACTGATAATTTAAGTACTAAATTCATTAAGTTTTTAACTGTGAGATACTAAATGAAAATGAAAACTAAACATTAAATATGATTTTGAAAAATTTAAAAACTTAGATACCAAAATGACCAAAACTGATAATTTATATATTAAATGCGTACTTTTTAAACCACCAATCCTTAAACTTGATGGTTCCCCTTTTCTTTCGCATGTGAGATTATGTCGCTCACCTCTTCAAGGCGTGATTAAGTGGACGAGTAGAGCTCTGTGGAACATAGGGTTGGGCATGAAACCAAGACAATGCAATCCAAAACACCAAATAAGACAGAAACGAAAGGTCTGGGAACTTAATAAGGAATGTCCAAGTTAAACATACAAGGTTACATATCATGCAGTTTATCATACAATGCTAGCTACTGGGGGGTTTTAGGGAAGCCGAAATCGGGACAAACCACGACATGGACACATTTGAACAACCACAACAGCCATAAACTAGCGATTGTTGCAGATTAAAAGAAGAAAAACAAAACAAAACTAATGGGAATTTTATCAGGATGTTAACTTCAAATTCTGCTAACAATTGTACGACTTCCACAATTTAACAAACCTGTCATGACTAGCGGAAGAAACCAGCCCCGTCACAGGTGAGACTGCCAATGCAGCTATTAGTCCTTCATGAGCCGGCAATGTCTTAGTCTGATTCTCTGCCATATTCCACAGCTCCAAAGACTGTCAAAGAGGATCGTAATAGTTGAGAAAGTAATTAGATCCAAGTTATGATAAAGAGGAAAAGAAAACCAAGAGCGCCGTGATTAGAGCCAAATGAGAAAGCTTTAAAAACATTTTCCAAATGTTCACAACAGATTTTCACCTGATTATTCATGCATGTTTTGCGCATGCATGATCAACTATTCATGCAACCATGATTCACGGTAAGTTAAAGTCTTTCAAGAAGAAATATAATGTGGTCATAATAAAAACTGGCATCGTAAATACAGGCCATACAATACAAACAAGAAAGTTACTTGCCTGGTAACATCCAATGACCAGCAATGATTGACATGTAGGATGGAAAACACACGAGTGAAACTTCTTGCCACTACAGCTCAATTCATGAACACATTCCCCTTCACTTCCTGATCCAAAGCTCCAGACTCTGACGGAGTCCTCACTGACAGATGCTAGGAACTCACCCGAAGAGTCCCAGCACACAGAATGGATCAGTTCTGTATGTCCCTGTCATAATAAAATGAATAAAAACATCACGATCCTTATATACATGTACATATAAAATTTCAAAGAGTAAATAGGTCAACAACACAGAAAGAGCAAATCTCTCAAATTAATCCACATGATTCACCTGTAATGAGTGTCGACATGCTTGAGTTTCTGCATCCAATATAGATACAACATTCTCTGCAGCTAAAGCAAGATATTTTCCAAGGCGAGGTTGAAATCTCAACTGGGTCGTACCAGGAGCAGTAGCACCCTAATCCACACAAAGGAGACAATCTTAACAGGCACATATCAACCTCAAAGAGAGAGTCCTGAATTTGATTTAGTCGCACTGCAAGAAAATCTGATGTAAGATCATACCTTGAAAACTCTTGCACAGCTCCCGTTGTTGATACTCCAATATCTGATTTCACCATCACCATCACAAGAGCAGATAAGGTCATCCTTAGTCGGGTGGAAGTCAAGTGACATAACATTACCGGAATGTCCCACAAAGGTACGAAGTGAGTAACCAGGCTTCAGAAGAAGTCAAGAAAAGCAAATGTTAATTAAAAAAAAGGCGAGAACCTTCTGACGCAAACAAGCTCCCAAAAATTAGAGTTTTCATCAAAAGACAAAATCTAGACATGCATTAAACTAGAAGTTGTGAGAAATAACTGGCTGCACCATGCTAATAAAGAACGTAAGACATAAAATCTGCAAAATAAGGCATCTTTAAGTTATCTCGATGCAATT